GTGGAGGTGGACGACTCTGCTGTGTATTACTGTAAGAAATGGTTTAGCTCTCCCACTGAAGTGGTATCACAGTGATTCACACCATGACAAAAACCTGCCAGTTTCACTTCTGCTTTACTACTAATGCTGACAGAATATTATTTCAATTAAAGTTAATCACAACCATTCTTAATGCAGTTAGAGTAATAACTAGCATCAGGACCGGTGGAAGCCCATGTGGTGCCCAAGGCAAACTTCACTGCCAGTGTCCCACCCACCTGCACACCAAGGAAATAAAGATTGTACACTGTTTTATATAATATAAGAACGCAATAAATCTTATAATATTTAGTAACATTATACAGTAATAAATAGTAAAAAGAATCACATAAATAATAATTACATAATAACAATATCTGAAATAACAGGTGATTTGCAGGTAACACACAATTATAAACATCTTTCACACAACATAACCAAACCAGGCTGTAGGACTGTAAGTTTTATTACCTTGTAAATAGTCTGTAGGGTTTGCAAACTGCCCCAATGCTCGTGAAAAGCATCCATGTTGGTATTTAAAGTAGAACTAACTGGCTTCAAGTTTGTAAACCATGCAGTTCAGTCTCTAAAGTCTGTCTGCAACCTCTTCATGTCTGTGCTAAGCTTAGGTGACGTTTATTGTGGAGGACCCCCCCCCCACCTGCTCTGCCAGGTTTATTGTGGAGACCCCCTCTCAAGACAAGGCCTTTAATGACCTCTTGGGCACAACTGTCAGCAGTGTGTCTGTCTGTGGAGAGAGCATTGAGAGGTTCACTTACCTTGGCAGTGACGTTCATGTCTCTGGTGACTCTTCCTATGAAATCAACAGACGGACTGGGAGATCATGGGGGGTCACGAGGTCGCTGGAAAGGGGTGTGTGATGCTCCCAATATTTTAGCAGTTGGCTGGTCTTCTCTGAGCCATGCCAGAAGAGCAACTTTTGGGCACTGGGAAGGGTATCATACATGGCCCTGATCAGGAATCTCAGCAACAAGCCTATATAATCACCCCTTCACATTTGCGAAGGTTAGGGAAAGACGATGAGCATGAAAACTCACAAATAAACTTGGATCCAGTATTAAAAATGTGAAATTAACAACACTGAAAATTTTTTAAGTTAATGCGAGACATGCAAGATTCTACAGTCAGAGAGATAACTTTCATGTGAGTGAGGCTTGCTGTCAAGGCAAAGATGCTTGGTGTACCCAGATCCTACAGTTATTTTCCCCCAAAAATAACTTTTATATTAAAGATGTATCATGCACTTACTCTAACAAATATTAAATAACACTAATATACATCCATCCATCCATCCATCCATCCACCCATTATCTGCCACTTAACTGGGGTCGGGTCGCGGGGGCAGCAGTCTAAGCAGGAATGCCCAGACGCCCCTCTCACCAGCCACCTGCTCCAGCTCCACTGCTGGAATACCAAGGTGTTCCCAGGCCTTGACATAATCCTTCCAGTTTGGTCTGGGTCTGCCCTGGGGTCTCCTTCCGCTTGGACTTACCCAAAGCACCTCCTGAGGGAGGTGTCCAGGAGGATTCCTACATGGATGCCTGAACCGCCTCAACTGGCTCCTTTCGATGCAAAGGAGCAGCAGCTCTACTTTGAGCGCCTCCCGAATGTCTGAGCTCCTCCCCCTGCCTCTAAGGCTGAGCTCAGACACCCTGTGAAGGAAACTCATTTCTGCCACTTATATCTGTGATAATCATTCTATCCATCACTACCCAAAGCTCATAACCATAGGTGACGGTAGGAAAGTAGATCAGTAAATTAATACCTTTGCCTTCTGCCTCAGCTCTCTTTTTGCCACGATAGAATGGTAAGCATCTGCGTCACAGTCGATGTTGCACCGATCCGCCTATCGATCTCCCACTCCCTTATTCCCTCATTCATGAACAAGACCCTGAGATACTTAAACTCCAGGTGCAATCATTTTCAGAACGGCTCTCAGTCAGACCAAGGCAGGATGAGAAGGACATGTCATGTGTCTTCCCCTGGAAGGCAAAACCTGGCTAAATCCACACCTCCTACAATCAGGAAGTCATCACCATCACATGATTGATCAGAAAAGCTACTGAGATGGATTAGAGCAGAGGTGTCAAACTCCAGTCCTGGTGGGCCAGAGCCCTGCACATTTTTGGGTTTCCCCTCATTTAACACACCTGATTCAACTCCTTGTAACTCCTAGTGCGAAATACTACACAGCTTCAGTGAAATCATTTGTGGTGGAACTGGGAAAGGACTAAGCTACACAGGGCTCTGGCCGTCCAGGACTAGAGTTTGACACCCCTGGATTAGAGTTGTGTCTGTAACACAACCTCTGTCTGTATGTCAGCGAGGCTAAGAAGCTGGTCATTGACTTCAGGAAGCAGAAGGCGACTGGCATTAAGAAGCTGATCGAGGTGGGGATACAGTGGAGTCACCATCACTGACTAAACTAAAATCTGTCACTTTGACAATCTACTCCTCAAAATATAGAGGAACATTATTCCAAAAAGTTTGAGGATCATTCAGGTGTATCTTTGCAAGCATGAGATGAGCAGTTAAGTTACTCTTGAATAGCTAGAGGTTTCCACCTTGTTACTCTCCCAACCATCCTATTTTTTCCTCTGTTTTTTTATATGGAGTCTTGACCCTTATCTCAGGATAGAGAAACCTGCTGTTTCTTCACTCTTGTTCATGGATCTTTTGTGACATTTTGAATGAATTGTCACTAGTCTGGAGAAATTTTGGCAAACAGGCCTTTCCTGGGAAGATTCGCCACTATGCCAAATGTTCTCCATTTGGAGAACATTTGACATGGCATTCCCACTTGCCTCTCACTCCAATTTATGCTGCCATAGCCATATCTGCCAGATCTTACATACTGCACTCACCTGTTTGCACTCCCTCCAGTCTCCCTTACTTTGCATAATGCACTTTTTATCCCCCCCACCCCTCCTGGGCTGGCTGTGCTGCCTGGAGACCTAAAAATCAAGATATCCTACCTACTCTACTGTCTGTGATGCCTCCCTCCCCCCCTTCTGCCTGTGACGTCTCTCCTGCCGGCCCTGCTGCTGTATCACTGTTCATCCTGATGTCAGAAGCAGCACCAGCACCTGCCTGCCCTCCACATTTAGACTCGAATCTTGGACCATATAAATTTGGATTTTGTCATTTTGTTCACTTGATTTCCTCTGCTGGTCCCTGGAGGATGCCCCCCCTTTGAGTCTGGTTCCTCCCCAGGTTTCTCCCTTGTACAGGGGTTTTCCATGCCACTGTCGCCTCTGGCTTACTCACTGGGTACTTTGGGCAGAGAGAATGTAAAGTGGTTTGAAACAATGTAATGTTGCCATTATGGACTATACAAATTATTCTGAATTCAAGTGAAAAACAAAAACTGGATGAAGAGGAGCAGGGTCTCTCAGTTCCTTCCTCTCCGTACAGAAAGTGAAGAGCAGTTTTTGTACGGGTGGGTATGAGACCTGTATCACTGTGGTATTCGGACAAGGCACTAAACTGATCGTCAGCGGTAAGTACCTCTCCATTCCCATCTGCTCTGCTTCTCTTACCTAAATCTTTAGTAAAATGCTCACAGCAGTTGTTGTCTTAGATTAAGCAAGTTATAATCTGCCTCTGTAGTGGTTAATTTTATCATTAGATATATGCTTAAGAAAGTGCCTTGATACATTCATGTTGATGAAAACTNTTGCTGTCAAGGCAAAGATGCTTGGTGTACCCAGATCCTACAGTTTTTTTCCCCCAAAAATAACTTTAATATTAAAGATGTATCATGCACTTACTCTAACAAATATTAAATAACACTAATATACATCCATCCATCCATCCACCCATTATCTGCCACTTAACTGGGGTCGGGTCACGGGGGCAGCAGTCTAAGCAGGAATGCCCAGACCTCCCTCTCATCAGCCACCTCCTCCAGCTCCACCGCTGGAATACCAAGGTGTTTCCAGGCCTTGACATAATCTTTCCAGTTTGTCCTGGGTCTGCCCTGGGGTCTCCATCTGCTTGGACATCCCCAAAGCACCTCCTCAGGGAGGTGTCCAGGAGGATTCCTACATGGATGCCCGAACCACCTCAACTGGCTCCTTTTGATGCTGAGCTCAGACACCCTGTGAAGGAAACTCATTTCTGCCACTTATATCTGTGATCTCATTCTATCCATCACAACCCAAAGCTCATAACCATAGGTGATAGTAGGAAAGTAGATCAGTAAATTAATACCTTTGCCTTCTGCCTCAGCTCTCTTTTTACCATGATAGAATGGTAAGCATCTGCATCACAGCCGATGCTGCACTGATTTGCCTATTGCTTTCCCGCTCCCTTATTCCCTCACTCATGAACAAGACCCTGAGATACTTAAACTCCCCTGTTTGAGGCAGCAACTAATCCCCCACCAGTAGAGGGCAATTCACCCTTTTCCAGTCGAGGACCCTGGCCTCATATTGGAGGCGCTCATCCTGATCCTGGCCGCTTCATATTAAGCTGCAAACTACCCCAGTGCCTGCTGCAGGTCAAAGCCAATAATAATAAACAAACCTTTATTGTCCACAGGGGGAAATTCTTTTTACACCTATCTCAACTTGCTCTTTGTAGCGTAAGCTGTCCGTGAAGGGCAGCCACCTGTTGGGGCACCCAGAGAGCTGGGGGTCAAGGACCTTGCTCAAGGACCCACAAACATCCTGAGGCTGTGTTTGAACTGGCGATTTTGTGATTACAGGCACACAGGCTTAGCCCACTGAGCCACACGCTGCCACAATAACACCAACACAACCACATCATCTTCAAAATGCAAAGACGCAGATCCTGACGCCCCCATACCGGACCTCCTCCACCCCTTGGCCCATAAAAGTTGTGAACAGAATTGGTGACAAAGGGCAGCCATGACGGAGACCAACACCCACTGGGAATGAATCTGACTTACTGCCGGCAATGCAAACTAAACTCTCATTCTGTTTGTACAGGAATCTGATAACCCGCAACAACGGACCCTGTACCCAATACTCCTGGAGCTATGCGGAGTTAGGGTTAGGGTAAGAAACAAAATGTTTCTTATGACCCATAAGTGGTAGTGCATTTAGATAGAAAGACGCTATCCCAAAAAACACTGCTAGTTACACTGTGGCCAGTTTGGATAGGTCTTGGATAGGTTTTGGATATATTTGGCACAAGTCTTGTGAATAAAATATAGATTTTCCTCCAAATGTGTGGTGATGTTGTGTGACAAAATGTTTCTTATGACCCATAAGTGGTAATGCATTTAGAAAGAGACGCTA